TATACAATAAACTCTTTCCGGGTTTATTGTATAAATTATGATCTCCTACCACGTAGTAACTACGTCAATTCATAGAAAGAAGTTAATTTAGTCATATCATGCAGAAAAATAAATTTGTAACAGCCCGGAAATGCAATAGAATATTTGCTATATACGAATGACTACATAACAAGAAGTACTGCCATTGCGATAGTTAACGAAAAATATCATTTCATTTATAAAGATCGGGGTCGGTCACCCGGTTTTTCGATATTGATATTTTTGCAACAGAGTAAGCGTTGAATTTAATTCATGATTGTTGAACTTTGGCGGCATCATGAATGATCATGTTTCGTTCAGGCTAGACTAAATAAACGTATCCTTTTGATGATTTTTAATATCGGAAACGCGAAAATGCAAGCTTCGAGTTTGCATTTCAGCTCCGTGGACAGGAAGTTCGGCCATATCTGAGTAGCTGGGCCCGAAAATTTATTAAAAATAAAAACTGACCAATGACTTCGACGAAAAAAAGATATAGGTCTTGAGTAGGAAGGGTTATTGAAAAATTCGGGAATATTAAAGAGATATCAGACCAATCAGGGAACGGTTAGGGACAGTTTTTTGGACTTGGAAATACTACTTAGACAGGTGGCGATCGGGGAGTTGCGGAAGAGGGTCGCGAAACGGTCGGGAAAGTCAGTTGCGAAAAGGTATTTTGTGAGAGGAGATTTTGCGAGGGGAGTTGGGAAAAAAGTTCTTGGCAAAAGAGAGTTGTGAAAGTTAATTGGGGGAAAGTGGAAATCTGTTGAAAAATCAATTGTGAAAAATTCCTTTGCGATCGAGAGTTGATTGGGAGAGTTGCGACAAAGGACTTTCCGAAAAGGGATTTCGCGATAGTGAAATTACGGTAAACTGCGGTCAGTGAATTGATTGTTGTTCTGTTTAGTGACACTTAGAACGGATACGTTTTTTACACGAATACCGTACAGAGGGGGAGACCAGAACCCAGTATAGTGTCGTGAGCCAATTTGGATTTTCACTAACCCCCATGTCGGTCTAGAGAAAGTCTACATTTTTAAGTCTATACCAGCTGAGAAAATTAGAATATGCGATATCGTACTGCTGAGCCTCTTCAATATCGTCAAGAACACATAATTCCTCACTATTGTTCTTCATTTTGCAAGACATTAAACACCAGCAAGAACTTTAAATGTGACTTTAAATGAAACGCGTGAGCTGTAAACCAGGTGTTGGTAACCAAGTGAATTGGCGTCACCTGACACGGCCACTTTACAGCAAATGCGATAACATGAAAATAGTTAACTGGCAAGAGATGTCAAAATGTGTTTTTATAGAAATATTGAATTCATCTATTTAATTATGAAAACAGGACAGTTGTACAAAAAACTTTGTATGATATTTAACACTTTCTTGTTTAATCTCAATGAATACCGAGAAGCGAGCATCCTTAGCGACATATGATGAATTATATATTCAAATTCAAAGTTCTTGCATGATATAGTCATTGTGGTACATTGTTCAACACAGAACAATATGTAGGTCTTTTTGTAACACGACCCAGTCTCTAAATGAGGGGGCTTGCTGGGAGTAATACATTCCGAGAAGCTCAAAATAGTTACCCTTTTTCCTCAACAGCTCGGAATAGGTGTAAATATTGGTTTAATATCCCACCTGCCCCACATCGTATATCAAATCTCACACCCCATAACTCCCATCTCTATGTTATTGATGGAGTCCGTGGGATGTAACTTTAATATCGGATATTGGGTACGAAGACACGATTGCCTGAAGTTTCCACTATGGATAACTTGGACTGAAAGGAAAGTTTCTTTTCATTAAGTTCGTCTTCGCGATAAACTTGGGAATATTGAACATAATTGGAAATGGGTCACTCGCAGACATTTTACCAAAAGTTGACCTTGGTTGAGATGAATAGTTATAAGACAGAGCCAAAAACTTTCTTCCCCAAAAAATTAGTCACTCCTAATAATAAACGTTTCCAATTCAGAGGCAAACAACTTCTTTCACGAAAATTAATTTTTTTTAAGACAAAACAGAAACACTACAGGAGAATCCTCAAGTGCGAAAGTAGTGATTTTCAACTGTTGCGTAATAAAGACTATCATTATCATTTATATTTAACACGCCAAATACAATTGCATTTCCAAATCGTGTTGAAAGATCACAAAAGCAGTAGTATCGAACCAAAATGAATTTATTCATCGAATTAGCTATTCACGTTCTGTTTAATCATCATTACAATGTGTCTAGTGCAACCTACTCAATGAATACAAATCGTTAAACATGGAATTGTTAATTTATTGCTTATCAGTAACAGCAGTAATGAAGCTCGGAAATTATGGAGACAAGTTAATGCATCCAGTGCGGGGTTAACTATATAATAATCTGTTTTGTGCATAGATTATTTGGATCGAAAAGAAAATTCGCAATTGGTGCAGATAGCAAAATGATGAATTTTTCCATTTTTTTTATCATAAGTTCATTTTAAAGATGAAATTAGCGATCCAAACCGGCCTACATATTTTTCTGTTGATTTTGCATCCGTTTGGAACTAGTAATAATGACATTTCCTAGTCATAGGAACTAGGAAATGTTATTGACATCTATCGATATCAATCATCTATCGATATCAATGATGATTTAGGTAAGTTTCAACTTACCTAGAAACAACACAAAATGAAAATGCGACCTCCTTCATTACGTTGTGAGGCCGGTCGAGTTAATAATGAACACTGCTTTCCAATATTGTCGAATCTTCCAATCACATCAATAAAGAACTTCTTCTTGCTATTCTGAATTACCTCGGCTCATCTTCCCCATTGATAAAGATCAGTTGTTCGAAGTCGCACATGGTGTACCTCAGGATTCAATACTAGGCCCTGTATGTATGATTAGGTTCATTCATTATTAAGGGTTAATAGTTAACAAAGTATTTGGATGTTTGTCGGGACCCTGCTATAGGTTTATGTCCCTGTTTTGTTTGTCTTATATTTTTTTCAATACCATATAGCTTTAAGATACGCCACTGATGATACTCAATTATATCTGGAATTTGATGAGAATTTGTTGAACCTTGCTGTAGATCAAATAAAAAAAACATTAACCAAACGAAAAGAAAAAAGAAGATAAGAAGAGGGAAGAAAGGAAAAGAGAAGAGAAGAAACGAGAGGAATAGGTAGATAAATATATTTTATTGTCCTTAAAATTCTGGTGTAAAGTTTTGTTAATATTATTTTAAACCCTATAATTCACGTGCTACTTCTTCTATTGAACCAGCATGGTTTCTTCGAGAGCTTCTGATAATTTCTCTTCCATATTCTCTGTTTCACTATCACTGTCGTCATTTGAATCAATAGTGAATTGGTATGGAAGTGTCTAATCCCCATATAGTCTTTTTCAACTAAAATGACTTTTTAAATCCTTTTCTGCCAGTCTTCTTCGGTAAAGCTGATATTATAAGTAGGATATACGAAAATGTAGATGAGAAAAAAGCATGTCTTGGAGTTTTTGTGGATCTAACAAAGGCCTTTGACACTTTGAGTCATGAGCTTTTGTTGGAAGAGTTGGAAAAAATAGGCATAAGAGAAGTTGCCCTTGATCTTTTCAGAGATCACTTGAGTAACAGAAAACAGAGAGTAAAAATTAGAGATGTAGTTAGTAATGAATAAATAATAATTTGCGGTGTCCCACAGAGATACTTTTTAATATTTATTTAAATGAGCTCCTTAGCCTAAATTCTGTTGGTTCTATAATATCGTTCGCTGATGATACTGTGATCATATATGAGAATAAAGTTACTCACCTAAATTCATCAACCACAGGACTCATTGTTATTCTATTCATAGTCCCATTACTTATTTTTTATTAAGTGGCAGTAAATGCATGACTCCTAAAAGTTATTCTGGTATACCGTTTTCCGGGCCAAATACATCACGGGAAACTACACCAATTTTTTTGGCAAATAATCGCTTTTACTCTCCAGCCG